GTCGCTGAGGCAAAAACTCGGGCATGGGAGGAGTTCGGAGAGACCATGGAGAATGGCTTCCGCATGGCTTTGAGGCGATTCTGGTCCACCATCCGGCGTCTCAGTGGGGGAAAGCGGTACGCCACCAACACTGTTTATTGTGGGAGTGGTGTGCTGCTGACCTCAACTCGGGATGTTGTGGGTCGGTGGGCGGAATACTTTGAAGACCTCTTCAATCCCACCGGCACGTCTTCCACTGAGGAAGCGGAGCCTGGGGACTCTGGGTCGGGCCCTCCAATCTCTGGTGCTGAGGTCACCGAGGTGGTTAAAAAGCTCCTCGGTGGCAGGGCCCCAGGGGTGGATGAGATTCGCCCGGAGTTCCTTAAGGCTCTGGATGTTGTAGGGTTGTGTTGGCTTACGCGACTCTGCAATATTGCGTGGACATCGGGGGAAGTTCCCCTGGATTGGCAGACCGGGGTGGTGGTCCCCCTATTCAAAAAGGGGGACCCTAGAGTGTGTTCCAACTACAGGGGAATCACGCTCTTAAGCTTCCCTGGTAAGGTCTATTCGGGGGTTCTGGAGGAGGGTCCGTCGGATTGTCGAACCTCGGATTCAGGAGGAGCAGTGCGGTTTTCGTCCTGGCCGTGGAACACTGGACCAGCTCTACACCCTCAGCAGGGTCCTGGAGGGTGCATGGAAGTTTGCCCAACCGGTCTACATGTGCTTTGTGGACTTGGAGAAGGCGTTCGACCGCGTCCTTCGGGGAACCCTGTGGGGGGTACTCTGGGAGTATGGGGTACCGGGCCCTTTGATATGGGCTGTTAGGTCCCTGTATGACCGTTGTCAGAGCCTGGTCCGCATCGCCGGCAGTAAGTCGGGCTTGTTCCCGGTGAGAGTTGGACTCCGCCAAGGTTGCCCTTTGTCACCGATTCTGTTCATAACTTTTATGGACAGAATTTCTAGGCGCAGCCAAGGTGTTCAGGGGATCCGTTTTGGTGGCCTTAGGATTGCGTCTCTGCTTTTTGGAGATGATGTGGTCTTATTGGCTTCATCAGATCGTGATCTACAGCTTTCGCTGGAGCGGTTTGCAGCTGAATGCGACGTGGCCGGGATGAAGATCAGTTCCTCCAAATCCGAGGCCATGGTCTTGAGCCAGAAAAGGGTAGAGTGCCCTCTCCGGGTCAGGGAGGAGGTCCTGCCCCAAGTGGAGGAGTTCAAGTATCTTGGGGTCTTGTTCACGAATGAGGGAAAAATGGAGCGTGAGATCGATAGGCGGATAGGTGCAGCGTCTGCAGTGAAGCAGGCGCTGTACAGGTCTGTCGTGGTGAAGAGAGAGCTGAGTCAAAAGGCGAAGCTCTCAATTTACCGATCGATCTACGTTCCTACCCTCATCTATGGTCACGAGCTTTGGGTTGTGACCGAAAGAATGAGATCTCGGATACAAGCAGCCGAAATGAGTTTTCTACACAGGGTGTCTGGACTCTCCCTTAGAGATAGGGTGAGAAGCTCGATCATCCGGGAGGGACTCAGAGTAGAGCCGCTGCTTCTCCATGTCGAGAGGAGCCAGTTTAGGTGGCTTGGGCATCTGTTTAGGATGCCTTCTGGACGCCTCCCTGGTGAGTTGTTCTGGACACGTCCCACCGGAAGGAGGCCCAGAGGAAGACCCAGGACACGCTGGAGGGACTATATTTCTCGGCTGGCCTGGGAACGCCTCGGGATTCCCCCGGAAGAGCTGGCCCAAGTGGCTGGGGAGAGGGAAGTCTGGGCCTCCCTACTTAGGCTGCTACCCCCACGACCCGACCCCGGATAAGCGGAAGAAAATGGATGGATGGTTATACACTGCATATTTAAGTTGTCAATGTATTTTGTTGGTTTAACACTAAAAATACTTAACAGTTAACTACTGTTTATTGCATTTCATGGTAGTTCACCATAAACTTAAGCTGATTAAACTAAAAACTAAAAGGAGAAATATAATTCCAAACACAACACTGCCCGGGTAGCCACGATGCTGAAGAACTGAACTTATTTTCATTTTATGTCTTCATAAAAGAAAAGAGCTCCATTTAATTTTTCTTGTATTTTATTTTTCACACATTTTTAAAAAAAGTAGTTTTTTATTACTTGTTGGGAAGGAATAAAAGAATCAGTTTAGTATTCAGTGAGTGTGACATCATCACTCTTGGAGGAACCTAGTAGATGTTTAGTGCCTGTTCCCTATTCGTCCACTTTAAGTGTACTACCCTAGGGAAAAATAGATCGGTATTGGTATCGGTTATCGGCCAATAAGTTCATATACATATGGGCATATCAGACATCGGCCAAAAATCCAATATCGTGCATCCCTAATGCACATTGGTTGAAATCAATTTTTAAAAGTTTTAAACTTACCGGTAATATCCTACAAAAGCTGACTACTCAGCAAATGAAGAATGAAAGTCATGATGAAACAATTTGCAGACAGTCAACCTGCACATCATCACTTCAAGCCTTAAAGCCTCTGAAACACATTTCTGGATGTTTTCCGACACATAAAGACTTTTTTCAGCTTTCACAGCCTTCCTGCCTCCTTGAATCTGCCAAGCAGCCCATCATCTGCCCTCAGGGGGAAGCTCAGTGTCCGGCTTTTGTAGAAATTTGGGTTCGACTGGAGGTTCTGGATGACATCTGAAAGGAGGTGAGCGCGTTCCACACCACAGCCTGGCACCTCATAGCCAAGTTTGGTGAAGTGGACATGCAGGTGGTAGTAGGAGGGCTGGTAGTGCAGGTAGACCCGCAGTTTGCTGCCTGGAAGGCTGTAGTGCTGCAGGATGGCCTCCTGAAACACAACATCACAGATACTCATCCTCGGCCTGATTTCTGCTCTGTCACTTGGAAAAGATCTCCCCAAGCAGAGAAAGGAAACTGAAAACTCACCTTTCCTTTCTGCATGATGTTCTGCAGTAGAGGCAGGTGCTCCGACGTCAGGTCTCGAACACTCTTGATGTCTCTCTGATGAGCTATTGCAATCAGGTACAAGTCATCAACCTAAAAGGACAGATGTGAAAATACGATTCAAGGCCCCCAAAGTATTACTGTAACTGACTTAGCAAAATATTTCATTCAATTCAAATTCAAAAATACTTTATTAATCCCAAAGGGAAATTAATTGTTGTTGTAGCTCATCATTAGAGTTGTTCTAGATGCCGATGGCTTTAGGCAGGAAGGATCTCTTGTAGCAGTTCGTCCCACAGCGGATCCGAAGAAACTGGATGCAGATGCCGATACGTCCACCCAGACCCAGCAGACCTCTCAGTCCTCTTGGGCAGCAGGACTGCCTGAATGCTGGGCAGAACTCCTCCCTGAACGATGGCCATTTCTCCCAACAGCCTCCCTCCTCGCCACGGACTTAACTGCAAGTGCCGTGGGACTATCTCGGTCCTCCTGCTGCCACGAGCCGTGCTTCCCGCCACCTCCAAGATCTCAGCGGACAGGCACACGAGCACCGTCTCCAGGTAGATGGTAATGCATCCATGGAACTGCCTTTTCAACTCATTTGGCATTTGCGACTGTAATTGAGAAATTATTTGAGCTTTTGAGGTGTTAATCAGCAGCTCCCAGTTGTAAAAACCACCTTGTTGTTATGGTTACGCATCATAACAAAAGTACAAATGTAAAAAAAAAATGTCAGTAAAAATTCTTCCAGCGGCACAGCATCTGATAACAGAGGAAGTAATCATCTGAAAAAAGCAATTTTACATCCAGAAAAAAGAGTTTTCAAAAGCAAAATCTCAGAAAATGAATGAAAGAGAGCAACTCCAACATGCAGCCACCCCAAGCAGCGCAATTCTGGAACTCAATAAATACATTTCATAAAGGATTTTAATGAAACGTTCAGAAAATTATCACTAGATGTGCATCTACATATTCACGTTCAAAATTAATCTAAGTCAAGATGACTGCTGCAGTCAATTCACATTAGCAAAAACAAAGTTAGTCAAATTTTAGTCAGTTTTACAGACACTGACATCAACTTTGATGTGGTAGTAGCAGAGTCATTCACAAAAATTTAAACAATAATAATCTTGAAATAACAAAAACAAAATAAAAAATAACTCCTTCTTGAGCAACAATTCATACAAATACACGTTAAGCTATTTCCTCTTTTTTTAACAGATCAACTTTGATCATTCTCTTAAACACAGACATTGATCTGGCATTATTACCATCACTCTCCAGATTATTCCATAATCTAATTCATTGGATTGAAGTAGACCGTCGCTTCAAACTAGTTTGAAATTTAGGTTTCACAAATATCTTTGTCCCCTTAAGATTATAACAACTCTCTCTTTTAACAAAATTTATTTGGATATTTATGTTATTATAATGAGCCCTATACATAACTGATAAAATACTATAATCTACCAAATCATGGAAATTCAATAACTTCAGTTGATAAAATAATGTGCTTGATGGGTGACTGTAATGCTTTCTGGTGATAATTCTTACAGCTCTTTTCTGTAAAATAAAAATAGGTTTTGTAAATGTTTTACACGCTTTCCCCCAAACATCAGTGCAATAGATTAAATGTGGAACAATGATTGTGTTATACAACATGTACAGAGCTTTATCATTTAATAATTCCCTGACTTTGTATAGTACTGCAATAGATTTAGATATTTTTGTTCTTACAGAATTGATGTGATGTTTCCATGTTAGCTGTTCATCAATGATTACACCCAAAAATTTCACCTCACTAACTCTACAAATCTCAACACCCTCAACTCTAAATGGAACATCAACAGTTCTCTTTCTATTACTGAATATCATGTAGTTAGTATTATCTACGTTTAATGATCATTTCCATCCATCCATTATCTTTTACCCGCTTCTTCCATTTGGGGAAACGGGGGTCGCCAGTGCCCATGTCCGTCAATTACTGTGCGAGGGTGTAGACCCTGGACAGGTCACAAGTCCATCACAGGGACACATAAGCCCCTTATCCACAGGTCTGGTTCTTGTAAGACCCTAATGGGCCTTATCTAGGCCGGTTCCGGTGGGACCGGTATATTTCTGTCTCCACAGTGCCCATAGGTCACCTTTAGTGGGCAGATCATTAATGTCAACCCGCCTTACCAGCTGGTGGTGCTAGTGTTACATTAAGCTCTTTACTAACCACCACTAACACGTATTAGAAGAAGAAGAGCTGGGAAAAAAAAACACACAACCAAAATGGATGATCTTGTTTCTGTTTTGAACATTTTGCTTTGCCTGTGGCTTTTTCTCCTTTTTTATGCACATACATTAATATATGTGTGTACATAAAGGGTCATGTAAAAATTCCATCACAAACTGCTTTTTGTAGCGGCTGTAGATTTTTTTTTAAACTAACATTTTTGTTTCACAAAGAATCGAAAGAACTTTATATTTGTTGATACGTATTCAATCAACCTTTATTTAAACAGATAAGTCACATTGAGCCTCAAAGACTCATCTACAAGTGAGACCTGTTTGGACAGACAAAAGTGGTGAAAAATGACACATATAAACATTAATCTAATTAAATATATACATGTAGTTATAGTTGTTGAGTATATATAAATATAAACCATACGTATAATCTAAATAAAAAAATATATATATATATATAAAAATAATATATATAATGATATATAAATATAACTATATGTATACATATAAATAAAAAAAATATATACATATATATATATATATATATATATATATACAGTATATATATACATATATATACAGTATATATATACACACATATACAGACATATACACACACATATACAGACATATACATATACATATATATACAGTTATATATATATATATATTCATATACATATATATGCACATATATTCATATACATATATATGCACATATATATATATACATATATATACATTTATATGCACATATATATATATATACATATATACACATTTATATATATATATATATATATATATACATATATACACATATATATATACATATATACACATATATACATACATATATACACATATATACATACATATATACACATATATACATACATATAAATACACATATATACATACATATACACATATATACATACATACATATACACATATATACATACATAAATACACATATATACATACATATACACACATATATACATACATATACACACATATATACATACATATATACACATATATACATACATATATAAACATATATACTAGGGCATTAACAGAGTACTCGAGTAATCTACACATCGATTACTAGGACCTCTATCGAGGTTAAAAATGTAATGTCGAGTAACCGTAGTGACGTCACATTATGTGACCACCGTATGACCGTAGGGGGCGGTGTTGCACTGTTGCAGGTCACAGAGTATGGTGGGTCCAATCCACCGCCCATCCACTAAGTTTCATTTTTGACGTGCTGCATGTTTTTTCACGTTTGCAGTTTAATAATAATAACTAATAGTTTCATTTTTCCTGTGACTTATTTGCAGTATGATAAATGGTAGGAGCATAAAATACGCTCCCAATGTTTTGGTGGTCTTTTTTTTGTAAATAATTACGTTTTATTGCGGTTTTATTTATTTATTTACTTTTGTATCTTGAGATCTAAGAAGTCATCAAATACTCGAGTTCTACTCGGGTTTTGTTATGTTAATGTCGAGTTTAAAAATTATATACTCGTTCAACCCCTAATATATACATACATATATACATATACACATATACATACATATATATATATATGTATATATACATATACATATATATACACACATATATATGTACATATACATATATATACAAACATAAATATGTACATATACATATAGATACGAACATATATATGTATATATACATATACATACAAACATATATATGTACATATACATATATACACACATATATACACATAAACATATATATACACATATCAATCAACCTTTATTTATACAGGTAAATCCCATTGAGCCTCGAGGACTCATTTACAAGAGAGACCTGATTTCAACAAAGAAAGATGACAACAATGGACAACAGCAACAACAATAAGCAGTCATAAAAACTCATACTACAGTTTTTTTTTGTTTGTTTTTTTTAACAAATAGGATGGCTAAAAGGAAAAAGGTAACAAAACAAAAAAACAGCTAGATTCCAAGACAAATGTATAAAACTAAAAACAGGAACATGTCTGCATTGGTCCCTGCCAGGAGTCCAACAGATTCTTAAAGCCACTTAGAGAGGTCAAGGTCGAGAGCTTCAAATATTTTGTAAGATATTCCAGGAAACAGGAGCGGAGTAAGAGAAGGCCCTTTTGCCTAGTTCAGTCCTCACTGAGGGAACACTGAAGGTAATAAAGTCCTGAGAGCGCACTCCGTAGCTGCACTCACGCAGAGACATGTAGGAGGAGATGTATGAAGGCAGCAGACCAAGAAGTGATTTAAAGATGAAAATGTACCAGTGAGAGAGTCTGCGTGAAGTTAATGATGTCGAGTTAACCAATGAATACAGGGTGCAGTGGTGGGTACGATAATCACAGCCAGTTATGAATCTTAGTGCACCATGATAGACATACATATACATACATACATATATATATATGTACACATACAAATATATAAATATATATACATACATATACATATATATACACACAAATATATGTACATATACATATATATACACACACATATATATATATATATATATATGTACATATATAAATATATAAATATATATACATACATATATATATATACATATACATATATACACATATATATACATACATATATACCCACATATATATCCACATATATATACATACATATATATCCACACATATATATATATATATATATATATATATATACATACATACACATATAAACATATACATATATACATACATATATATACATATACATATATACATACATATATACATACATGTACATATATACATATATACATACATGTACATATATACATACATGTACATATAT